ATGAAGGACCACCCAGTCAGGGTGCAAGAGGAGGTTAAGCATGACCCATCTCTTCAGATGTTCTTTCTATCATACCCCATTCACAGAAGCTGTGAAGCCATAGCAGCTTTTGAAACAGCAATTTTAATAAACACCTAGAAGTTTTCATTAGTCCCTAAGACAAATTATTGAAGAAGAAGGACCCTTTTCATGTATTGCAGTTTATTTAAATTTAATTTCCTTTAATGATTTTTGAAACAGGTTCTCACTTTGTAATTTAAACACCTGAACTCACTATGTAGCCCAGGCTGGCTGTGAACTTGCTGTGATCCTCCGGCCTCAGCCTCCCAAGTGCCAGAATACCAGATGTGTACCACTATGCCCAGCTAAGTTTTTTGAGATGGTCTATGTTGCCCAGGCTGGCCTGGAACTTTGAACCAGAGATGCTCTCTCTTCGCCCTTCCCAATGGCTTGGACATGTACCATCATGCAGGCTAATGAGTGTGGGGATGTGAGGGTTCCCCATCGCCCACACCAAAGGCTGAACCCATGGCCTCATGTATGTGAGGCAAGGGCTGTATCACTGAGTTATTCCTCCTCTAATTTGTGCAGATGCTACTTTTCTGGGTAAACATTAAAACTTTTCTACTGGACATGGTTGGAAAAAATAAGGATCCCTGTGCTTGAAATTTTGGGGTAGAGTTGGAGAAGAGTGGGAGCAGAACTTGACTGTTTGATAGCATAAACAATTCCTCCAAATGTCCCGCAATGGCTCTGTGTGAAAGTGAATATTGTTCAAGTCTCTGGTGACCTTATAGACTGAGTAACATGAGTGATAAGTGCACAGGAGAAAGGCAAATGCCATGTATCTGTAGTTGTGCATGCCTGTGCACATCCGGGAACAAGTACAGATTTGGAGTTTGGAAAATAATCAAGGAACCATTTATTAAATCCCTGCCCACGGCATGACTTAGAAAAATGATGAGTGCCCTGGAGGAACACATTGTCTCGTGTAAATTTTGAATCCTAAATTGTAGAATCACACCCCTAACAGCTGTCCTGCCGACAATGTCTTCTCATCATTGAACTATGCTTTTTCACGTCTGCGTATAACCTGCCTAGGATGCTCAGCTGAAACACCAAGAAGAGATACACAGAGTTAGCAAAATACTCAACCATGCCAAGCTTGTTACCAGCTTGCCTGGGAATCTTATTCATTAATCAAAAGTGTTTTAAAGGCAGTGGAGTGTGTGTGAGAGCAAGGAAGAGGAAAAGGTGAGTTAATTGTGTCAACAAGACCAAAGAATAGTAAACATCTAACATCATTGTTAGCAGGGAAGGTGTAGGTTAACCTGGGCTCAAACAACTTCCTTTTCACCCATCAGTAGAACATTAGCTAAGATCTTAAAGTGCTAAATTCGTCAGATAAGAGATGTGCTAGGATGTAAGATCCTCTGAACAATGAGGAAAGAAAATTGCAGAGAAAATTGCAATCTCTACCTGCAAGAGACTTAAGCTTTGAGATAAGTGAAAATGTTTACAATGGAAGGAGAGAGAAAATGTGAAGAGGATGATATTTAATAATGAAGGTAAAGCTGCAGGACAGGAAAAGATAACAGGGGAAAGGGCTAAGCAAGCCAAAGTCATAAAGCTCCCCAGGGATCTGGATCCGGGGGTTGGGGGAAGCATAGCAGGGCCTATCAGAGCCCACAGCGATCCTCCTGAACACTGAGTGGACAATTGGTGTCAAGACGGCCACAGCAGATGTTTTGCTGCAAGAAGAATGGTGGAATGATAGTCACAGGAGAACATTGTGACCTGCAGACAAGAGCTGTGTTTTACTGACAGCTGGACAAGAATGCACACAAACAGGCTCAGGAGAAACAGTGCAGCTGTGTCCAAAAGCTGGAGCTTTGGTAGAAGGAGGGTAAGGGGGCAGGGAGGCACAGAGACAGATGCTGAAGAACAGGTCCTCAGAGAAGGATCTATGGGGAAGGTTATTAAGACTGTGAATGTAGAGCAGCAAAATATTAAAAAATGGCAAATAATTCCCACCGGCCAAAGTTGTGAGATCTGGGGTTAGAGTACTTGGGTTCAAAGCCTATCACTCACTAGTTGTATGACCCCAGACCAGCTACTGATCACCTTTTCCACCTTCAGTTTCCTCATTTGTAAAGTAGGGCTTGTAGTACTATCTTCAGGAGTTGAATGAGTTAGTACATGACCTTAGAATTCTGCCTGGTACAAGTTAAGTGACTGTTGTGCTGTGTGACCAGCCTCTGACAGTGTCTCTGAACTGTGCAGAGTGCTGTGCACACTTTCAAATCCTTCCAGACTATCCATAAGATAGTTTATGATAGTTGCAACTCTGTGTGTGTGTGTGTGTGTGTGTGTGTGTGTGTGTGTAGTGTGGTTAAATATTTTGTTAACTCTGTTTATCTGTCTGTGGTGTTTCAGTTAAGCTTCCTAGGAAGGCTATCTGTAAAGGTGAAAAACCACATAGTTATGTAATTAAGTGTCTGCTGTATACACACAGCAGTTCTCCTCCCTCAGGGCAACTTGTAGGGTGGTTAAGCTGAGGACATCGCTCACAGTCTTTGAGGCTCAGAAATACTGAAGGCAAGTCATTGGCCTCCCCTACCTCCAGACTCTGAGCCTTCTTTTCTTACCTCTAAAACAGGAGACACATAGATGGGTAGACAGGTAGCAAAATTTCTGTGTGAATGAACTGAAAAATGCCTGAAACATAGTACGTTTTAATGAAAGTTCCATATTAATATGCCTTGTGATGTTAATGATGGTGACAGGTCTGAAATGCTCTCACCTGGAGAGGGAGAGACCCTACCTGTTTTCTCTCTGCTAGTAGAGAGGCCTTGGATTCAGCCTATATTGGAACTTGGCAGAACTGACCTTTTAGGCTGCTAAAGAAACTGGCATTTATCCTTTTCAGCTTATTCCAGGTGTGAATAGGAAAAAATATGACAATTTGAGTCTCTAAAATGGATTGGTGGGGCAGAGGTATGTTTTGCACTCTTTCCTGTGGGGGTTTGTCTCCAAACAAAAGAGCTTGGCAGCCTGAACAAAAGAAGCAAAAGGAAGAGGGCAGCAGTGTACCCAAATCTGGCTCCTGGTGCTACTGTCATTGTACACTGCTACACCTCCTCTGTCCCAGCAAGTAAGGACAGCTTGCTGCCAAGGTGGGCATCATGCCTTGGCTCTAGCCAACTTGCAGGGAAGCAACCAAATGCCTCCCTTGTTAGAAATCTGGCTCCCCATTTAAGACCATAAAAAATTTGATGGAGTATATACTTTCCCCAAAAGCCTCCTGATAAAGATCTTCTCTCCAAAAGAGAGAAGACCCTTAGTCCTAAGGGTCTCATATTCCACAGGCCCTCCAAGGTCTACTTTGTCTACAGCCCTAGCAAAAGAAAAGGTGGGGAAATAGACAATGTTTTGTTTTTAACCCCCTCCTCAAGAATACTCAGGTCTTTGTCAGTAGCAATAGCATTAAACAAGCTTGGAGTTTTTGACCCCATTCTTGGAGGAAGAGCATGAAAACTCCAAGCACCCAGCCAGCTGACCACCTGCACAAGTCCCAACCCAGGACCTCTTCAGAAATCCTTCATCATTTTCTTTCCCATCTGCTCTGCCAGGGCTAACTGGGAAGCCCCTGGCAGCTCTCAGTATATGTCTTACAATGTTCAGGCTCCCTCCCCAGCAATCATTTATTAGAAAGGGGTTTTATGATACAAATGTGATAATCTCCCATGCACACTGGCACTGTTCTAATTGAAGTTGTAAACCCATAAAATTCAAGTCTTTTGTCTTCCTGAAGGCCACAAGGTTTAAAAAGATACTATTGTCTGGCCTAACACCCACTACATTGTCACCAGGGACTGATTAAACAGAGTCCTGAATCAAAACAGTGCGGATTTTGTCTAGGTCCTTTTCAGGGCTGACAATGCTCTTTTCAGCTCCCAAGACAAAAGGGGGTTTAAGGATCGAGATTCTTCTAAGATAACCGCATCCATATGGAAGGCAAGGTGGCCAGCGGCTGAGACCCAAATACCCAACTCTCTTCCCCTACCCCCCATCCCAGGTGATAGCGCTGCCTCCTCCCCTTTCTCCTCCTTGGACAAGAAATCCAAAGCCCCTAACAGGCCCCTCAGAGACATCATTCGGGTCGTGTTTCCATCTCTGGACCTATTGCTTGGCAACTGCTCTTCTCTGGCGCATCTTCTGCTGCCGGTGCGGGGGAGGCCGCTGTCCTTTCTCCCCAGACAGTGAATGCCTACATCGGAGACCTTCCAGCGCCATATACAGAGTTAAGGAAGAGCAGTTGCAAACCCCGGGCCTAGAGTGTCCTAGGAGGTGTGTGAAAGGAGGCTTACTAGCAGATCTCGTCCTACGTGGGGTCACCAAGGCCATCATCCCTCAGTGGGACCGCATTGAAGCAGATCCCACTTTCAAAAGTTCACCACAACCTTCTAATTTCTCCATCCGGCTGTCCAGACACCACCCTACCCTAGGGAGGTGCTGTGTCAACACAAGGCGGGAAATCATAGCAAAACAGGCTTAACTGCGGGTTCCAAGCTGCCTGGCTCTTAGGGCCTCAGAGCGCTGTGCTCCCGCCCCGCTGGCTCAAGTCCAGGCTACAGCCGAAGCCTCTCACTGCTCGTGGCCACTGGGTTGACTTTTAGTGCTTCCAAGACCGGCAGCTCCAGGAGCTGAGAGGTGCTTCAGTGTCATGCTAGGGCCAGCGCCGCTACTCTCCAGACCGCCTCATCTGTCTCCCTTCCACCGTCTCCCATCCTCCTGGACTGCACTGGGCCTTAACCCCAACTGGGGCTGTGCCCGAATTTGGCGTTGGAGTGGGGGCTGCTCACAACTCCAGCGTGGGGAGCAGGGCTCCCACCTACTTTCCCGACAGGAGTACAGAGGACCCAAACTACACATTATATTCTCGCACAACAAAAAAGAAAAAAAAATACTCTATTTCTTTTAAAATAAGTTGATTCCCATACAAACTATTTAAAAATATACAAATAATGCTTAAGCAATAAAATCTAGCTCTGGGGCTCGAAGTTCAGGGAAGGGGAGGAGGTGGTCTTGGCGAAGGTTCCCTTCGAGAGCTTCCACAACAGCAGGTGAAGGCGGGCCAGGGAAGCCCGAAGCTGGGGTCAGCGAGGAGGGGTTCGGCCGTGCTGCGCTCCCGAGTGTTCCAGGTCTTTGGCGGCAGCCTCACTGAGGCCGCAAAAGCGTACTCCAAAGTCCGGGTACCCGGCGCCCCGCGGCAGCCTCACCAGTTCCAGGAGACCAGGGCGGGGGGCGCTAGGTGCTGGTAGGCCGGGAAGAGGCCGAGCGCTGAGCCCGGCCCGAAGGCAGCGTAGCCCGGCAGAGCGCAGGCAGTGGTCTGGGGAGCGCAGCCCTTGTCCCGCGCCGCCGTGAGGCCCGACTCCCTGCCGCCGCCGCACTGCTGCCCGTCGCGCAGCAGCACCGGGACCACCACGCGGCGCAGCAGGCCCGGCGCGGCGCGCGGCTCCGCGGAGGCGCTGAGGTCCGGGGACTCGGCGACCGCGGGCGCGCGCGCGCGCTTCAGCTTGTAGCGATGGTTCTGGAACCAGATCTTGACCTGCGTGGGCGTGAGGCGCAGCAGGCGCGCCAGCTGCTCTCGTTCGGGCGCGGATAGGTACCGCTGCTGCCGGAAGCGCCGCTCCAGCTCCAGAGTCTGCGCCTTGGAGAACAGCACCCGCCGCTTCTTCCTCTTCTCGGCCTCCGAGCCCGGTGACGCGGGCCCAGCGGACGCCCGCTGCGACGGGTCTGGCAGGCTGGTCTCCAGGCTGCTCTCGTCCGAGGCTAGGAAGGGCAGAGGGGAGGAGGCCCAGTGAAATGCTAATCCCTAGGGCGTCGGGGACGCCACAGGACGGGCGACCCCTTCCACGCGCGGCTGTCCAAGCGAGGCCGCTTCCTTCCCAGGGTCCACGGTGGGCACCCACTCTCCGAGTTCAGGGACTCATTCCCAAGCACCGCAGTAATCACCAAGCCCCCCCCCCCCCCCATCGTACCCCACCAAAAGCCACCCCAGGCCCTCACGCTAGCCGCCCTGGCAGCAGCGCTGGTTGCCCAGAGACTACAAGCCGGACCATTTCCCGACCGGCTGCACCGCACTTTACCGGGATTTGAAAGCCCTGAATGGGGACATACGAGAGAAATATTTCAAGCACTTCGAGCCGCAGCAGTGCCCAGAGGCGGAAACCCACCGGCCCCGCACTAGGCCAGGTGCAGGAGCGCTCTCAGCATGTGCTGGCCTGGACGCGGGGCGTGGAGTTTGGAGGAGGACAGAGCCTCCGTGCCCAGGCTAAAGAAGTCCAGGCTCTGGGCTGGGATTTTGCCTTTCCATCCCCGCAAGCGCCGGGGGCGGGTCCTGCTCTCCCTCCGCTCCCACCACGGTCCTCCCTCACTCACAGGGGTAGTGGCCCGGCTCCGACTCCAGCCAGGCTGCGCAAGGGTCGGCCCGAGACGCACGCGGCTGTGACTCCCGCCTTGGCCCGTGCTGCGCGTCCTGCTCGGGTAAATTCAGGAGGCTGCGCACGGTGAAGCTGAGGCGTCCGGAGGTGGCCATGGCCGAAAGGAGGGGAAGGAGGCGGGGGCAGGGTGGGCTGGGAATGGGGGCGGCGGGGGCCGCTGCTCCTAAGGATGGATGCGAGAGGCGCACGCCATGAGCTGGCGGGGGATATTAGCGCATTTACAGCGCACTCTCTGTTTATATAAACAGATCTCCCCACCCAGCCTGCTTTGAAAGTCGAGGTCCAGGTCTCCAGGGTGTTAAGTACCTGAATGAGTGCTGGACCAAAGCCTGGGTGAGCCCGGAAGGTACCACCTCCGCCCCCGCCCGCCCCGCCCCGTTCTCCGCCCCTCGGAGCCCCGTTACCTCCCAGAGGCTGTAGGCAGCAGCCTTAGGCAGTAGCGGTTGTCTGATTAGCCTAAAGTGGGGACAGATAATAGGGATTGTTGCCAGTGAATGACATCTTGGGTGGCGAGCGGTGGCCGCCACCCTCTCCAAGGCTCTGCTTCCTCCTCTTCCCGGGCTGACGTGGGGCCTGGCCCCGCAGGAACGCTGGGAAGAGTGACGGCGCAGGGAAGTGTTTATGAGCACCCTGGAATTTACTCCCTGTTTGCCCTGTACCTCTAGCTTGTTTACTGGATTGGAGTTTCCCGCAATTATCTGGAAAGTGATTTATAAAGCTGAGTTAAAACTCTGGCGCGCTCCCTTTGTTTTGGGTGAGGCCCCCCTAAAGATGAGAAGTTCCAGGTACTAACAGAGAGGCCAGCCCCTGCCGGCATCTGGGCCAGGGTTAGGAACACCAAGGGAGAGCTTCCACAAGCTCTATCCACTATGCCCACCACCACCACCTTAGGGCTGCTGGGAAAGGTGTGGGATGTCTGAAGAGCCTGTCTCCTCAGGCCGGCAAGGCGCAGGTGGCACGTAGCCGAGCTCCTCGGATCCAAAGTGCCCAGCTCCACCTAGCCACTGTGGGTCGCGGTATCCGGGCTCAGTGTCCAGGCTCTCCAAGACTGGACCTAGGTCCATTCTATGAACCCTGGATGGCAACGTCTCTTAGGGCAGGCGGACGGGCAGGCTCTGAGGACAGCGGGGCTTCTTTGGCGTCCCCAAACACTCTGGCGTCCTCTGTGTGCTTCAGCCCCACAGCCTCAACCTCTCCTAGCAGCTAGGATGTGGGCACTGGGAGTCCCAGCAGCCGGCGCGGGGTCTGCGCTCTTAGCTCCAGCGCTGCAGGCATTACCAAAGCTGCCTGGCTCTAGATCAAAATAACTTATTATGGCACCTGCCCTGCAGGAAATAGGGCGGTCTGGAAGTTTCTCCTGGACCTTCCGGTCTACATATTCCCACCAAAAAACTGATTTGTGTAGATGACACAAAGAGCCGAGCAAGGTGGATTCGTTTTGTTAGCCCATAGCTTTGCTGTGGCGGAGGTTCCGCCTCGAGCCTGCAAGGGCCGTCTCAGTGTCCTCTATCCTGCCCTTGAAGCTTTGGGTATTTGGTTGCTGAATTTTAACGCTGGAAGCTGCACTTTGGTGGCTACACCTGAAATCCTGGTTGCACCAAGGCTGAATGCGAAGCTCACTCAAGGTGGCTGCCTGGCCCACCTAGCCCAGAACACCATCCCATCTCGACAGCTTCCCTGCCAAGCGTGCCTGAGGTGCCCCGGTCTGCCCTGCGCGCTGGGTGGTCGGGCGGAGGCAACCCCAATACAGGCCAACTGCTAGGCTGTGGACAAAGGGGAAATGGAGCTCGACGCCCCGGACCTGTTGGAAGCATTTGTTCCAGTCAAGATTTTGCATTTGTTCAGTCCAGAATAATGTGTGATTGACGCCTCCTCACAATGAGCTTTAGCGAGCTGGGATAAATCGGAGCTTGTCCAGTGTTGTCATGGTTTTCAATAGGGTTCAATGGGATTGGGAGCACGATCAACTCTGCTGGCCGTCTTTCGGTGGCCCTGGCTATAGATTTATTAGTTATGTCTTTTAAAATAAGATTAAACTGAAATGGCTGTGCTATCCTTTCTGCAGACAAGAACAGGGCAGGAGCCGGTGGTGAAAAGGGGTGGTGGAGTCTTGGGGAAGCCTGAGGAGAGAGGCCCAAATTGGTGTCTGAATAAGGTCAAAGAGAAGGCCTGAAAATGGGCTTGCATCCCAGCTCTGCCCCCAGCTACTGCAGTCACCTTATTAATCTGACCCCTCTTTTTTTCCCCCTCATTTGGTAGTTTCTAAAAGTCCTACTAGGTTTAGGATCTTATTTCTCTGGACTAAAGTACAACCAAATCTATCTTCCCAGTGATGTTTACCTGAGGAGTCTTGAACTCCTTCTTCCCTGTGTTTCTTCATTTGTGGACCTGGATCCAGTGGAGATGTTCCAGGAAAGGATGTGATATCTCTTGAGTTTGCCAAGGACTCTCCACAGGAGTGGTGTGGGGTAGATTGTAGTTTTGGAAAAAGAACCAAGTCAGGAGAAGCAGCAGAAGAGTCCTCCCTGGAGTGACTGACCTCTCTTAGCCTTTTAATCTATTTAACATCCTAAGACCACACTGACGTGTAGAAATAAGTAAATGGCACTCTTCAGTTCTTAAGAGCTCTTCAGCATCAAATATTTGCTTTTGCTCTTAGTGTTTGGTTCCCAAAGCAGAGAGATAGATCCTCTATCTAGCAGTTGTTGTGCCCTGGGAAGCATTGCCTCTAATATTATTTCTAGGTTCACATTCCTTGGCTTGGGCACAGTGTGCCTGGGCACCAGAATGCATTTTTAGATATCCCAGGGATATCCTGTGTGTCTTGGTTCTAGAAAACACTGTCACTTCTCTGCTTCATCTTAGATTGTATCCTCCTTCAGTAGTTTTGCCAGAGTCCAACATTCCTTCTCTCCTGTTCTGGGGCTTCATCTAAGTTATCTTCAAGATCTAGAGCCTGGAGACGCCAGACAGTTGTTCCATATACACCTCTGGATAAACAGAGGGAAGGAAGGGTAATGTGGAAACTGCTAAGGAAAGGTGCTCCGTCTATTGCCTTCCTACATCCAATAAATTCAAAGACTTTGGAGTGAGAAAGGTTTTGCTATTGGATCAGTAGACAAAGATCATAGAGCTACTCATAAGTTTTTAAATATTGGAAATATGTATATGACTTGCCTTCTGCTCACAAGAGTTTCTTAGATTCTTAGAATGACAAGCAAACAGCTAACTACACACTCTCCCAGCTTCCAAATGTTGTTCGGCATTTCAGACCATTGAACTTATTGTGCAACTTGACATAGCTTGCACTATTGTTACTTAATTAGTTAACTATTTGTTTTCCTATAATTGGGTGCAGTGCATTTCAGTTCCAGTAAGAGTGTTTAATTTTAAGAGATCTATAATATGGTGAGTATATTCAAGCTGTCCATGTAAATCACCCTTTCAGAAGTTTTATCCACAGATGATCATCTCTGCTGAATGCATAAGAATTTAAGGCTAGAAAATTCTGAAATGAAATTAAAAATGAAGTATCTTGATTTTTGGGAAAAAAATTGTATCTATATCTTGCATTCTGTTTTCAAATCCTCCCATTTTGGTCGAGTGCTTCACAAAACCCTGCAAATCTATATGGTATTGAAGAGAGCAACACCGCAGATTCCCCTTGATAGATGGAGGCCCTCAACTGCCTGGGCATTTTTCTTTGCCTCGTAGCAACTGCGGTCCCCTCTCTATCAGTATCCTGCTTAAAGCAGTGAAAAGAAAATAAAAATGGGCTTTTGACACTTCCAGGGAGAAGTAGACAATCTTGACTGGTTATAGATGGGAAAAAGAGACAAGATTTAAAATCTGATCTCTTTGTTTTTCCTTTTGAAAACTAGTTGCCATGAATAGGTAAACCTTTCCCTTTTAATGGCTAATAATCACTCGATGGTGGTCCAGGCCTTACTACAATTATTTCTTAGTTGTATTGGTAATGTGCACACTTAGGACAAGGAATAGCAATTACTTTCAGACTGGGAGTTTAGTCCATCTTTGAAATCTGCCTTAGATTTTATTATTTCATGTTAAATGAAAAGATTTGAATGATGAAATTTTAAGTCACTTAAAATAGTGACTTACCATTGACCTTATCACTGTTCCTGATCTATATAATGAAAGTTTTTCTTTCCTAATGTGTGATTCAGCCAGGCTAGGTGGTGCATCCCCAGCTCTCAGAAGGCTGAGACAGGAGGATCACTGCAAGTTCGAGCCTAGCCTGGGCTACAAAGTGAGTTCAAGATCAGCCTGAATTGCATAGTAAAATCTTTGTTCAATCAATCAATCAAACAACAACAACAACAAGATAAAATAATGTGTTATCTAGACACAGTGCCTGAAAAATATATATAGGCTAAAATGACTCCTTAAACTAAGACATAAATATATTGATTTGAATATTTTTTCATGTAATTATTTGCTGTTTGCATTTCTTGTTTAGAGGAATGTGTACTCATCTCAGATGCCTATTTTTTTTTTTTTTTGGTTGGGTCTTTAAATGTTCAGGGTCTTATTTTTTTTTTAATTTTTATTTATTTATTTTTATTTTATTTTTTGCAGAACCGGGGATTGAACTCAGGCCCTTGCGCTTGCCAGGGAAGCGCTTATTCTACTGAGCCATCTCCCCGGCCCCAAGACATAAATATATTGAATGAAACAACCACACCCTCTATTTCCCACAGAGCCAGCAAACAGCTTTTTAAATTTTTAACTAGTGTATTAGTTTCCTAAGTATATCTGCTCTTTCCTATGCCTTCTTACAACATAATGAGGGGATTGTATTGACATAGTGTGTAAATCCAAACTAAAAATAATAACACAATTTGGGGGAGCAGAGTATCCAATCTTATTTGTCTAGAGATAAAATTCTTGTTTTTGTCTAATGATTTTTGAAAGTACCGTCTTATACTCCTTTCATTTCTTAAGTGATGTAAAGACAGGTTCTATTTGATTCTTTTTTTTTTTTTTTTTTTCCTTTTTCGGTACCTGAGGTTGAACTCAGAACCTTGGGCTTGCCAGGCAAGCGCTTATTCTACTAAGCCATCTCCCTGGCCCTAAGACAGTTTCTAAAACAGAGACTCTTTATTGATTCCACATAATGATGGTCTAGGGCTGGAGATGTGACTCGGTGGTAGAACTCCAGCTGTATTACCTTTTTTTTTACATTTATTTATTGTGTGTGTGTGTGTGTGTGTGTGTGTGTGTGTGTATGGCCAGCTCAGCCCACCAGGGGGCACGGCTGGCTGGCATGTGGTGCTGGGGGATCAAACCGC